TTGAAAGTGGTTTTTATTGGCCTACATTGTTTAGAGATGCTAGGGCTTTTTGCTTAACATGTGATTGATGTCAAAAGACCGGAAGTTTAGGCCAAAGAGACCAAATGCTGCAAACCCCAATCCTTGTTGTTGAAATCTTTGATGTTTGGGGTATTGATTTTATGGGTTCATTCCCTATGTCTTTTGGTTTTACTTACATTTTACTTGCCGTTGATTATGTGTCAAAGTGGGTGGAAGCTAAAGCCACCCGAACTAACGATTCTAGAGTTGTTGCAGATTTTGTAAAATCTAACATTTTCTCTAGATTTGGGATGCCTCGAGTGCTCATAAGCGATGGTGGGTCACATTTTTGCAACCGCACCATTGCGGCGTTGCTCAAGAAGTACAAAGTGATGCATAAGGTCTCCACACCTTATCACCCCCAAACAAGTGGCCAAGCCGAGGTTTCAAATCGAGAAATCAAGCAAATCCTGGAAAAGACCGTTGGGCCGAATAGAAAAGATTGGAGCTTGCGTTTGGAGGATGCACTGTGGACCTATCGAACGGCTTACAAAACGCCCTTTGGTATGTCCACATTTCGGCTAGTCTATGGCAAGCCGTGCCATCTCCCCGTGGAGCTTGAACACAAGGCACATTGGGCGGTCAAAACCTTCAATATGGATGTGGACACGGCTGGAAACCATAGGAAGCTACAATTGAGCGAGCTTGAAGAGATTAGGCATGAGGCGTATGAGAATGCCTGGATTTACAAGGAGAAGACCAAGGCCGTGAAGGGAAAATATGAGATTTATGTGGGATTTCTAGTGACTAGCATGCATATACAATTCAAAATTTATATACGAAAGCAACGGAAGCATGTCATACATTTTATCAAAGCTATAGTCATGCAAATCCCCTTCAAGATGCATAGGTTTATATAAGATGCATCAAAAACAATTTATTGAAGAACAAAGTTTAGGAGTAGTTTTGTACCTCTTGATCTAGATCTAAGACCAAGGATTGACCACCTCCAAGCTCTTTGCTCCTTGAACTCCTTGAGCCTAGCCTCCCTCCTTGCCTCCTCCACTTTGTTGAGAATGAGTGCTCCTAGGTCCTCTTCAAGTTTCCAAAGATATGAAAACCTCTAAAGATCCTCACCCACTTTGTAATGAGAAAGATGAAGGAATTAACCAAAGGGTGATAAGATGATTAGCTAGTTCATCCCCTTGGTGGCCGGCCTTTGAAGATTAGAGAGAGAATGGTTTTTCTTTTGTGTATTCTCAATCACCTAACACACTCACACACACTTTCATTATATTATGTCCCTTTTATTTCTTAAAGAAACAAATCAACAATTGACTTACTTTCTCTCCCTTCTCATATGGCCGGCCTATTGTGTTTAATTTGGGCTTTGGGCTTTTAATTATTTCAAGTCATCCAATGCTTGAATAAAAGCCCAATGGGTTTTGGCCCAATGGGCCCGATTAAACCCGAACGTTTCTTTAAGCCCAAAACGATCTTTATCGCTTTTATGATTTCTTTAGACTTTCTAAATTAATCAAAACACTTAATTAATCCAATTAATTATTTCCTTCATCCATTAGTTACTCACTACAAGAGTGTATCGGTGAACAATCTTTTAGGTTCTAATTAGCAAGGCAGTGAGGTGATTGGCACCAATCCAATTGATTATCCAATCACTTAGTGATTTAAAACTTACTTTTAATTCACCTTCCTTTTAATGACTACATTTAATCATCTAGAAGAACTCACAAGCCATGAGTGACATCTAATCATATATCATGGCTACCCAAGCTAATGTAGAAGTTATTCGGAGAACCTATTCAGTTGGAATTACAATGTAATTCGATCCTTCTCTAAAACAATACTCTCAATCACATTACTAGGGTATGGATTTATAATGTCAAACCCCTAATGTGATTATTCCTTCTTATACGATTCATTTGAGACGTATAGGAACGCTTTCCTTTATTACGCTCGATACTTCGGCCGAAGATTCCCGAATCATATCTTAGAGTATTCATCCTCTCTTATCGAAGATTAGAGATTCCTTGTTGCGCATTCACTTGCCTTCATGGCTAAGTGGCTTAACCCCAACGATGCCTTGGACACTCTCGAATGGAATGACTTTAACATAATCAAAGATTAAGTACTTAACCACAAGACAACGAGATGCCTCAGGTCAAAGGATTACTTACATTATTCCAACCATTAGAGTTACTTGCTTGACATGTGAGTAGACCTCCATGCAAGTACTCTCGTTCGATTGTGTTCAGTGAACTCATTCCCTTAATGAGCACCTACATGCTTGTCTTAGTGTCGCTACACGAATGGGATGAGACTTTCCATCCTTCCAATTGAAGCGGACATAGTATGTACCAGTCTATGGATTGTCAGTATCCCTCCGACAATCCTTATGACCAGGAACCTTTTTGGACATGATGGTTATGAGAAGAAGGTCTCTGTAATCTAACATCATTAGGTTACTTCTTCCATCGATCCATTGTCCATGGATTCACTATTTAGGACATATTTCGTTCATTGAGATAGTCCCAATTAGTATCTTTGCCTTCCGATGTATAAGAGTCATATATACATCAATTCATTGTCCTGAAAGGTTTCTTCCAAAGATTGACTTTCAGGGCATATTTCCAACAATCTCCCACTTGCACTAAAGTCAATCACTAGTGTATCTTATACATCCAACAATCTCCTTCTCTTATGCTCGTAGGTTAACTTGGTTATGTATTTAATCGCCTTTTAATTTAAAAGGGATTTACTTATCAAATGTTTCTAAAACATTTTGATGATGTCTCTTTCTTGTGTTCGAATACTTTGATGAGACCTTGATTCCATGGCTTGAGCTATCGCCCCATTACGTCGTAGTATCCTACTAACGACCTTATGGTTTGGATTCAATCATTGGTTCTAAAAGAACCCCTTCCATTCAAAACACCTTTTGAAGCAGTTTCTAAAACAATATATCGATATATATATTTCGTTTGTATACTTTATACAAACTTTGCTCCAACCTTGAGACCATTGTAGTACGATACTAACAATACATTCATATGATTAGTACTTCATCCATTATGAAGTTCCATTTGTTAAAATGGGTTATTTTCACTTTGGTTCGTAACCTAAGTGAATGCACGCTTCCAAAGTCCCACTTTGATGTTCCTTTCTAAAAGGCAATAATACTCTATCAGTTGCTTTGGTTCTGATCCTGGGATATAGTAATATCTTAAAGTGATAACCCATGGTCTTTCACTTTTGGATATCTACTCACAAGTCCATACATGTGTCCCTTTTGTGATTTTATGACACATATGAAAATGATTTTCTATCATATAAGAAAATTTTATGATTTGAACCATGAGGTGACGGATTTGAATTGTCTTGTTGTTAAACTATATGTTGTGACTCATTTTGAAACTATTCCCTTTTGTTTCATCAACTTGTCCATATGCTTTGTTATTAGCTTGTTCTCATAAAAGAGAATGATGGACAACTTCCAACATATAACCATTTTATGCTAGGTTGACGAAACCAACATTCAAAGACTATTCTTTAGAATGTTACACAACATAGATTTTTAACGTTTTGAAGAGCTTGAGTCTTTTAACAATTTAAAATTTCAAACTCTTAATAATAGTCAAATACTATTATTATTTAGACAACTATAAACCAATCATATTCAAGTTTATATTCATTTTAACACCTCCCACTATTTCTTATGACTTTAATGAGAAATGATTTCATACATTCAAAAAAATGTATAAACGTGGAATGTACGAGTAGAGGACATTGTGTAGTAGCTTTAAAACCTTTCAAGCTCATCTGTTTCAACCTTCATTAAGTTGATGCCTTGTTATTAAGTGATTAAAATCTTTAAACCTTTTATAGATTTAGACACTTCTTTCTTGGTTTTAATCACTAACACACTTAACATTTTAAAACAATTTTAAGAATGCCCAATTAGTTGTTCAAAACTACTAATTGAATCAAGAGTGACCTTGATTATTGTGTTTTAAGTGATAACCCTAGAAAACGTTTTTCTTATTACTTATATCATTATAATGTGATATAAATCTTGTATCTCAACTAGGATACAACAAGACAATATTCAATTCATAACACTACTTTAAGGAAATAATATATTAGAAGGCATTCATCACATTACATTAATATGATAACACAAACATTCACAATGTTTAACTTAAAAGGAATTAGCTCTAAACATTTAGAGACTTATTTAAGTACCTTCAAACATTTAGGCATTAATAGTGGTCTTCCATCATATGAAGCCACATAATAAGTTCTTAACATAATAAGAAAGTTTAAAGACAATCTTTAAATGCCTAAACAAACTTCCCAAGTAGTAAGCAAAATCATGGTGACCGAACCCTTCTTCACTCTTTTATTTGCTTGTTCCTCTTCTACTTAGCTCCTCCACCTATATACATTTATACAAGTGATTAGCACTTTATATCAAATATAAATATTTAGAAGATCTAACAATTAGAATTGAAGATGAGAACATAAACCATACCTTGTGGCTTGTCCTTAAGAGTTGCAAGGTAAAACTTGCAATTCCTCCTCCAATGCCCCTCCTTTCCACAGTGGTGGCAAGTCCCCTTGGGCTCCATTTCCTTTTTCTTTTTCTTCACTCCTCCTTTTGGCTTAGGAGTGGGAGACTTTATCTCCTTCCCCTTTCCTTTGCCATACGGCTTAGGATTGGAAGAGGATGGCTTGTTGTAGGCTACTGCAACAGTCCCTACAACGTTCTCTTTCATAGTCTTCTCAGCAGTTACTAACATGTTTAGTAACTCAGAGAGAGTACTATCTATTTTATTCATATTGTAGTTCATTACGAACTGTGAGAATGAATCAGAAAGAGAAGCCAATATAAAGTCCTGGGCCAATTCCCCGTCAAGTGGAGTACCTAGGTTCTCCAGTTGTTCAATGAATCCTATCATCTTCAGTGCATGTAGATGCACTGGAGCCCCTTTGACCATCTTGGTCTTCACAAGTTCACAAACAGTGTTAAAGCGACGGTTGCGCGTCCCTTCACCATATAACTCCGTAAGATGGAGTATTATGGAAAATGCACTGTCCATGCCCTCGTGCTGTCTCTGTAGCTCCTCATTCATGGAGGCCAACAGATAGCACTTGGCTTGTGTATCATCCTCAACGTGCTTGTCATACTTAGCACGTTCATCCTCTGTGGCCTCAGGGCCAAGAGGTATGTCAGGAAGAGGCTTATCAAGTACGTAAATAATCTTCTCCAACGTTAGGAGAATCTTGACATTACGATACCATGATGGGAAATTGTGCCCCTCTAGGCAATGTTTGTCGAGTATTTTCGCGAATGTGCTTCCAACCATATCTAAATACATAAACAATAAAATAAATTAGTTTGATTGTTGTTTAAGTCACACGATTCGGGTCTTTAAACCGAATGACACCACCCACCATTTTTGGCAAATTCCATATCCCTCAAGATGGAATCCGGGAGATTTCAAAGAAAGCTCCTAGCAGGTTATAGGAGGCTCACTATTACCAAGCCCACCTCACGATGATACGATGTTGGCTAGCAAAAATAATAATGAGAGGGTACACTTACCCATTTACAACTCTTGTAATTACCCATCTAGTTTGGCCTCTAGAGAATGTTGCCTCACGATGATACGATGTTGGCATTATTGCACTTAGTTAAGTTATTCCCACCATGCTTAGTTCATGTAGGGGTTCAAGAATAACCTCACGATGATACGATGTTGGCTATCCTCGTTGCCTACACTTACCTCATCATATGTTCATGGACTCCTCCTGAGTGTAAGCATGCACTTTGTACTCCCCCATGATAGGGTGAAGCCGGTGTACAAGTCACAAACGATTGGAGCCCACCACGGTGGAAGGCCTACGAAGAAATGTTCAAAAACATCTCTCGTTTATCAACTTAATATTCGTTTGTTGAGGGATTTTAAGGTCTCATCAATTTTATTTATTTAAACATATTCAAATAAATTGTCCTATTACAACTACTAGTCCAAAGTTAATGAAATTAGTAGCATATGATATCCCCACTATTCGTTTTCATAAAACAAATCAATATCAAAACATTTTTCAAAATATTGGAGATATATATAACTACTAATTGAAATCATTATAGTTTAGTAGCGTATGATACTCCCACTATTTGTTTTGAGAAAAACAAATCAATATCAAAAACGAATTTTTCAAATATTGGAAGTAACTACTACTACTACGGGTTTTGCAATCCTTTGAAATTGGACTTTATAGTTATCTTAGGCTCTTGGATGACCATGGACTTATTGGGTTATTGCAACAACGAGCCAACATTGTTGAATAAGATCTCGGGGAGGTTGTGTCAATTTAATTACGTGCTTTTCAATCCAATTAAAACATTTTCATTGAGCCATTAGAAATGAAAGACAATCATTCATTGCTTATTAGGGCGTTGGACCCATTTAATCTTGAATCTCATGTCAAAACCCTCTTTTAGTTATGTCTCCTTACCAATAGTTAAAGAAACTCTAGTCTAGCACTAGAGGGAATCAACTAACTAAAAGAGATTAAGAAGTAATAAGAATTACAAACCGATTTGTACAAATTCCTACAAATTACATATACTAAGAGGGAGAGATAGATTAATGTCGAAACGTGACAAGGTCCAATTGAAACAGTAATTAAAACACATTCCCAAGGTTCAAACAATTTGATTTTAGCGCCTTATCTCATAGCTCAATTATCGTTTAAGGCATAAGTCCATAGTCACCCATTTACTAATTACTCAATCATATTAAATAATCAAATGGAATGCAACATATAAACAATTAGATTTAGTGCATATGGGCATAATTCAATGATGAGTTTAAACATTAAATAAAATTAAAATCAAACATTTCAATTTTTAAATAGTAGGGGTCTAAATGCAAATATGAAAAAGTTAGGGGTCAAACCATAAATACTAAAAGTAATACCAAACTTTTCATGATTACAAAAGGACCCTCAAGTGGGTAAACCATTGAGGATGGCCGGCCATATTAAGGGGAAGGTGGGTAGGTCTCACCCACCTTGCATTATTTCAACTTAAAGAAGAAAAAATCTTGTTTGCCACTTAGTTTTGTTTTAAGGACTTTAAGAAAAAGAATGATTGAAATATATATCTAGACAATTCTAGGTATTAATTTAAATTTTGGTGTAGGCTATGGATGGTATGTACATCATCCATAACCACAAAACAATGCATGTAAAACCATTTTCACCAAAAACCAAACCATGAACACCAAGAACAAAACCATGAACATATTTTCAAGATTTGTATGTTCTTGGTGATTTTTCAAACCCAAAAAACAAAAGTGACAAGATCACTACTTTCTAGCTTCAAAGTGTGTGTGTGAGGTTCAAAACAAAACACAAACACTAACAAAAAATCCCCATTTAGCCGAACCCCCTTTGAAGAATAAAACCCCAAAAATTTTTGTTTCTAAACCCTCTTTTCATTCATGCATCCAAAACATTTTTGCATACATATCTTTCTCAACTATTGATACACCTTTTCAACATTTGAAAAAGACAAAAGATAAACATATTTTGAATGAAAAACAATTTAAACTCAAACTTCATTCATGCATCAAAAACACTTTTCTTGCATATCCTTTTTCAACTTTTGATTTACAATTTTCAACAATTTGAAAAAACAAAAGATAAACATATTTTGAATGAAGCAATAATATGACATACATAAAATTAAAACCCATATGCATAAAATCTAAAAGGACACATCATACATAAACCTTTGGCTCTGATACCACTTGAAGGGAAAATATGAGATTTATGTGGGATTTCTAGTGACTAGCATGCATATACAATTCAAAATTTATATACGAAAGCAACGGAAGCATGTCATACATTTTATCAAAGCTATAGTCATGCAAATCCCCTTCAAGATGCATAGGTTTATATAAGATGCATCAAAAACAATTTATTGAAGAACAAAGTTTAGGAGTAGTTTTGTACCTCTTGATCTAGATCTAAGACCAAGGATTGACCACCTCCAAGCTCTTTGCTCCTTGAACTCCTTGAGCCTAGCCTCCCTCCTTGCCTCCTCCACTTTGTTGAGAATGAGTGCTCCTAGGTCCTCTTCAAGTTTCCAAAGATATGAAAACCTCTAAAGATCCTCACCCACTTTGTAATGAGAAAGATGAAGGAATTAACCAAAGGGTGATAAGATGATTAGCTAGTTCATCCCCTTGGTGGCCGGCCTTTGAAGATTAGAGAGAGAATGGTTTTTCTTTTGTGTATTCTCAATCACCTAACACACTCACACACACTTTCATTATATTATGTCCCTTTTATTTCTTAAAGAAACAAATCAACAATTGACTTACTTTCTCTCCCTTCTCATATGGCCGGCCTATTGTGTTTAATTTGGGCTTTGGGCTTTTAATTATTTCAAGTCATCCAATGCTTGAATAAAAGCCCAATGGGTTTTGGCCCAATGGGCCCGATTAAACCCGAACGTTTCTTTAAGCCCAAAACGATCTTTATCGCTTTTATGATTTCTTTAGACTTTCTAAATTAATCAAAACACTTAATTAATCCAATTAATTATTTCCTTCATCCATTAGTTACTCACTACAAGAGTGTATCGGTGAACAATCTTTTAGGTTCTAATTAGCAAGGCAGTGAGGTGATTGGCACCAATCCAATTGATTATCCAATCACTTAGTGATTTAAAACTTACTTTTAATTCACCTTCCTTTTAATGACTACATTTAATCATCTAGAAGAACTCACAAGCCATGAGTGACATCTAATCATATATCATGGCTACCCAAGCTAATGTAGAAGTTATTCGGAGAACCTATTCAGTTGGAATTACAATGTAATTCGATCCTTCTCTAAAACAATACTCTCAATCACATTACTAGGGTATGGATTTATAATGTCAAACCCCTAATGTGATTATTCCTTCTTATACGATTCATTTGAGACGTATAGGAACGCTTTCCTTTATTACGCTCGATACTTCGGCCGAAGATTCCCGAATCATATCTTAGAGTATTCATCCTCTCTTATCGAAGATTAGAGATTCCTTGTTGCGCATTCACTTGCCTTCATGGCTAAGTGGCTTAACCCCAACGATGCCTTGGACACTCTCGAATGGAATGACTTTAACATAATCAAAGATTAAGTACTTAACCACAAGACAACGAGATGCCTCAGGTCAAAGGATTACTTACATTATTCCAACCATTAGAGTTACTTGCTTGACATGTGAGTAGACCTCCATGCAAGTACTCTCGTTCGATTGTGTTCAGTGAACTCATTCCCTTAATGAGCACCTACATGCTTGTCTTAGTGTCGCTACACGAATGGGATGAGACTTTCCATCCTTCCAATTGAAGCGGACATAGTATGTACCAGTCTATGGATTGTCAGTATCCCTCCGACAATCCTTATGACCAGGAACCTTTTTGGACATGATGGTTATGAGAAGAAGGTCTCTGTAATCTAACATCATTAGGTTACTTCTTCCATCGATCCATTGTCCATGGATTCACTATTTAGGACATATTTCGTTCATTGAGATAGTCCCAATTAGTATCTTTGCCTTCCGATGTATAAGAGTCATATATACATCAATTCATTGTCCTGAAAGGTTTCTTCCAAAGATTGACTTTCAGGGCATATTTCCAACAGGCCGTCCATGACAAGATGATTAGAGGCAAAACCTTCTCAATCGGGCAGAAAGTGTTGTTATTCAATTCCCGTCTTCGATTATTCCCCGGTAAGTTACGTTCTAAGTGGGCTGGTCCATTTGTTATCACTAATGTTTTTGTGCATGGTGCAGTCCAAATACAAAGTTTGAAAACTGGACAAGAATTCAAGGTGAATGGCCATAGGTTGAAACCCTACAACGAGAACTTTGTTGAGCATGTTGTGGAGGAGATCCCATTGCATGCCGTGGGCTCTAATGGGGAATGAGCATAACGTCGTCCGACTGCAAGACGTTAAAGCAAGCGCTTCGTGGGAGGCAACCCATGCAATCACCAAGGAGAAGATGGAATTTACACTCCATAACCAGATTTGCGTTCCTAACCTCTTCTCTTTGTTATTTACATTCTGCCTTGCTTAGTATGTTTAGTTGCTGTTTGTGTGTTTACTTTTGTTTGGTGTGATTTTAGGCTTAAAACATTGAGGACAATGTTTGATTCAAGTGTGGGGGGGGGTAACTAAATGTGTTGATGCAAATTCGTGGGATTTTATCACCCATAACTTCCAATGTTGTTCCTTGCTGTTTTTAAGTGTTTTTAAGCTATTTTAGAGTGTTTTAGTGTGTGTTGACTTAAAAATCCGAAAAACCCATAAAAATTTGAAAAATTGTGTTGAAAAACCCAAAAAGAGTTGTTTTTGTGTGTTTGTTTGTGTCGTAGGTTACCTTCCAACACAATGATGAGGATTTGGTTTTTAATTGCATGATGGTTAAAGAAAGTTACAAACATGGATGGACGTTTGATATACTCTTTGGTTTATGCTTAGTTGTAGTTATAGTTTACGAATTCACATGTAATCACAAAGAAAAAAATTAGTTTTTGTAACATGCTTGAAGGAATGAACTCAAATTAACGCTACATCCCTGTGAGACTTGAGCCTAAACGTTATTTGGAGAGTAATAATCTGTGCATCATTGTTTTCTAAAGTCATTGCATGATCTCATTATTCTTTGCTTGGTTACTACTTAGAAGGCGTGTCATCACTTAGTTCCAAATGCTAGAACTCATGCCCATTTCATTCAAAGCATGTCATTGATTTACATAACACGTATTCAAGATGAAGTTGTGTAGTGACCACCATCAAAGCCAAATAAGCCGTATGCCTTTCACTCATTTTGTGTTTAAGTTTAACCCCATTGAGCCTTGTTAGCCCATGTTCTTTGTTAACCCATATTATCCTCGCCTAGCCTAGATTAGGACCATCCTTACCCTTGTTCTTGAAGCATAGTAAGCATGACTAAAAGTGACTTCCTTTTTATCAATGTGTTGCAGAAAATAAGTGTGGGGGAAGAATGATGGATGTGAGTTTATGTGCCATAGGCACGGTTAAAAAAAAAAAAAAAAAAAAAAAAAAAAAAAAAAAAAAAAGGAAGAAAAGAAGAAAGAAAGAAAAGAAAAGAAAAAAAAAATGAAAAAACAGTTGAAAAGAGTTCCAAAGTATTGGTTGTTGAAGTAAGGGCCCAAAACAATGAATTAGGCCCTAAGAGTTGTTGAATTTCCCCCTTATGTCTAAAAGTTGATTTCTGCATGCCAAGTGAATTCTAAGTCTTAATTTCATTACTTTGCTCGCTATTGCTTAAAGAACTTTTGTTTATCCCTACCTTTCCTTGTTAGCCAATACCCCAAGCCCCATTACAACCCTTGACTTCTATCTTGAGTGTTGTGCATTTCAATTTGTGGAGTTTGAATTTGGTATGAGCATATGGTGTCACTGGTTCTCGCATCTAAGTAGTAGCATTCCATTCATGAGATCATATCTAAACACGTTTAATTACTCCAGAAATTGCTTTCTTTGTTATAACATATGTGAGTACTAGTCTTTCATGTTTACATCAATCTTCTCACATATAACTAGTGTAGGGTGTGTAGTCAGAAAATCTGAGTGAAAATTGAGTGCATAACTAGTGAGGAATTGAGGGAATTCTCTAAGGCATGTTACTACATTCAAAATGTGTTTTAATTGATTAAATGCGAACTAGTGAATGGTGACTATGATTAAGTATGTGCTTGAGGGGAAGGAAGACTAAAAGCTATGTGAGTAATGATCTTTGACATGTCATGTTTCATTGGAAATCCCTGAGGCAAACGTTGGAAGGTTTAGGTTTTATTTTGTTTGTTTTGCTTCATCTTATTTTCTTTAGTTGTTTTGTTTTGCTCGAGGACTAGCAAAAGCTAAGTGTGGGGGAATTTGATAGGAGCATATTCATGCAACTTAATTAGCTTGTTCTCATGCATTTATGTTGTGTTTCCTTAGTTATTTTAGTGTTTAAGGTCACTTTTGTGTATTTTCAGATTATAAGGCCAAAGTGTGCAAGAAGATGCAAATTGGAGCCTTTTGGAGCAAAAGAGGAATAAATGAGTTGAAGACTTGAAGAAACGATGAATTCCTACTCCAACGATGAATTCCTACCAAAACGAGGATTCCTACTCAAACAAGGTTTCCTACTTGAAGTAGGAAAGTTAACCCTAGGTTTCCCGTTGGTAACCTTTCCTAATCTTAAACGTCCGTATTTTCTAGCCACTTTGAAGGCCTTGTAGGCACTTTAGGACACAAAACGAAGGCCCTAGGGCCCTTAAAACCCTTTGCCGTGCCCAATCCCTTTCTTTCCTTCCCTTGCCGTGCAAGGGGGGGTATTTAGGTCCAATGTCATGCACTTAAACCCTATTTCCCTCTCCTAACCTAAACCCTAGCCGCACCTTGCAGCCATCCCCTTTAATTTCTGATTTAATTCCCTAATTCTAGCAGCTTTTAATTTAATTTTAGTTAATAAAAATAAGCTAGGGTTTTATTTTTCTAAACCCTATATAAACTAAAGCTTGCCGCACCCTAGTTTCTCTTCCAATCATTCACTCTTTTCATCTTGCAGCCACCCTTCCATATTCTCCCTTGAATCCTTAGCCTCCCATTAATCCATCATCCATATCAGCCGCAAATTCCATCCCTTTTCTCTCATCATTCAGCCACCATAAACCTAATTCCCCCTAAGCCGCACCTATTTCTTTCACCCTAGAGCCTTTTCATTCATTCACTCTTCATCATTCACCCTATTCAACCTAAGCCGCAGCCACCATCCCATTATTCTTCTCTGCCGCAGCCTTCCCCCTCCATTCCAGCAACCTCCCATCCTTGCCGCAGCTTCCCATACATCACCCACACCATTCCCAACCTCCATACACCTTCCCACTTCCTTGCCGCACCACCACACCTCCCTAAATCCATCCCCAACCCAAAATAACATCCAAAAACTCCCTAAACCATCTCTGCCGCAGCAA